GGAAAAAAAAAATTTTTTTTTTTTTTTTTTTTGCCAAAGGCTAAAAATATCCAGTGCTTCAAATATGCTTCTTAAAAGATATAAGGAAGTGCAGCATAAAAAATAGCCACAGCTGAAACGGTTGACCACCTTTGAGTGGCTGGGGAGGGATTGGTTTGAGGGTTTTATTGGGTTTTTCTTTTAATTGTTTTTCTTTTAGTTGTCTACAGTTTCTTCCTCTTTTTTTTTTTTTAATTCTCCCCCAAAAACATGGGGTACCTAACTAGAGCTCAAGAACAAGTAGATGCCTAAATATTTTCTTCTTTTGGAAATAAAGATCCGTTTGAGAAGCTGAGTACTTCTATGTGGTACTGGCTGTGGAACCACTGGTTCCACTGTGCCTCTTCCGTGTTTCTTCATAGCAAGTTTAAGTCTTCTGGTGAAGCACTGTGACAGGGATGTAATACAAGTTTTAAAGCATATTCCCCAAGCCTGTCTTCTGAAGGAAACTCATGGATTTAAGGAACATCGCTAACAGAAACCATGCTGTCCCTTTGGTCCCTTGACTGTCCTTTTTCCCACTAATCAGTCATGCAAGAACTGGGGACTCTGATCACATCTCACTTTATTTAGCTTTGAGGTGAGGTCCTAGTACTTCTGGGATTTTGTTTTGAAACAAAATCAGGTGCAACGGCTAGGGTTGAAACAAGCATTCTTTTAATATCTGCCTTTTTCTTTTACCATGTTCTTTACTTGTTTACTAATTACTTGTTAACTTATCTTTTTAATAGAACTAAATTGGAGGAATCAATCATTATTTTTGATGTGAAGACTTCATCACTGACATCTCTTCATTTGTAAGCCTCCAAGAAATAATACAGCTGATCAGTGGCAATAACTGCTTTTGGTATACACCGACATTTATTTGAAAAAACAAATAAACAAAAAAACCTCAACAGACAAAACCCAACAAACTTTTTGAAGACTTGTGTCAAATGACGTCAATGGCCAGTTTGTTCTCCTTTACTAGCCCAGCTGTAAAGCGTCTGTTGGGCTGGAAACAAGGAGATGAAGAGGAAAAATGGGCAGAAAAAGCTGTTGATGCTTTGGTAAAAAAGCTGAAAAAGAAAAAAGGTGCTATGGAAGAACTGGAGAAAGCCTTGAGCAGTCCAGGACAGCCCAGCAAGTGCGTCACTATCCCCCGCTCTTTAGATGGACGACTTCAAGTTTCTCACAGAAAAGGCCTTCCCCATGTAATTTACTGTCGTGTTTGGCGTTGGCCTGATCTACAAAGCCATCATGAGCTGAAGCCATTGGATATTTGTGAATTTCCTTTTGGATCTAAACAGAAGGAAGTCTGCATCAATCCATACCACTATAAGAGGGTGGAGAGCCCAGGTATGTTTGAACAGGGCTGTCTAAAACCTGAACAGAATCTCCAGGAACCACCCTTGTTCACTCCCTCCTCCTCCTCCAGTACTGTATAACAAATTACATTTGGTGTATGGGGGAGTTTGGAAGAGGAATGTTCAAAGTGTACTTTTCTGGTGGGGTTTTGGAGAGGTGTGTTGTCCATTCGGTACTAGCTGTTTTTCTTTGTGGTAAATCACACTTTTCCCACAGATCTCTTGAGCATACTGCCCTTAAAGGTAGTGGCAAAGTCCTCTTTTATAAGAAAATAGGAAAGTAGTAATCAAAAGATTTCAATTTCTTTGAGAAACTTGTTTAAAAACCTCAGTCCTCGCAAGGAGGTTGGTAGCCTTCTTCCAGCGGCTTAATATTTCATCAGTGAGTGACATGAATTGAGGAGATTAAAAAAAAATTCTGGGGTGCAATGTTCCCCACTTGATTTCCCATTAGCAGGCGGCAGAGCTGAACAGAACCAAGAGCAATGATCAGTTAGCGCAAGGTACGTACCAAATTTATGTCAGGTAGCAAGTCTGCTGTTAAGGCATGTTGCCATGAGAGAAGGTGAGGAGGATCGTGGTTATTAGTGGGAGAGATGAATTATGTTGCTTTGGAAAGTATAGTGAAAAGTTGCTTCTGTTGTTCCACAAAATAGTTGTAACTCTACTGCAACCAGCTATAGTGCTCAAGTGCTCTACTGTAGCGCTTGAATTCCAGGCTCCGGCACTCTTGAATTTAAAAGTTAAAACTCCAGCTTAGCAGTAGTTGTATATTGTAGTACAGGTTTTGTCTTCAGTGAAAAGGACTATATTTAACTATATAGTTTGACTATAGTAATATAGACTGTATTTCCATTTTTACTGATTTGATAGTATACACATACAGTGAGTTTTGCGCTTCTAAATCAGTACTTTGGTACGTGCCACAGGTGGACTGTTTTGGTTTGGTGGTTTTTTTTAAAGTCTGCTTCCAGTTGCATGAAATAGAAGTGTGTTTCTGCTCTGATTTTTGTAGGAGTAAAGTTTGAGTCTTCCATGAAGTGTAATGTAAAAAAAAAGAAGAGAAGATGGCGTAAAGGCATGACAGATGAATGCCTTACTCCTCTTTCCACTTCAGCTAGTCTTGAAATTTTCATGATGAGCATATTATTTGTATCTCTTTCCTTCTATCTTAGTTTTTAATCTAAGTTTCCCTGTTTTTTGTTTGGTTTTTTTTTTTTCAGTTCTACCTCCAGTGTTAGTGCCTAGACATAGTGAATTCAATCCACAGCACAGTCTACTAGTTCAGTTCAGGAACCTAAGCCACAATGAACCACATATGCCACACAACGCGACATTTCCAGATTCTTTCCAGCAACCCAACAGCACTCCATTTTCCATTTCGCCAAACAGTCCCTATCCACCTTCTCCAGCCAGCAGCACTTACCCAAGCTCCCCAGCTAGCTCTGGACCATCTAGTCCATTTCAGCTACCGGGTAAGTACAGCCTAAATGTCAGCTTAATAAAAATAATTGAAATGTCACGTGCTGTTGTGACTTATTACCTCAGGAATTTGTGATACTTGTTCTCTTTGCATTTTAGGGGCTTTTCTTCCTAGTTTTGTCACTAGTCAGAGTTAATTGTTATAGTTTTATTTTTCCAAATGTTCTTTTGTCACGGATACTGTAGTGGTGAGTTATTTTGCACAGCTTCAGTGCAGAATAACTGATGCATACTTCAGAAGAATATCTAGCAATGAAAAGAAAGCAGATGTAAGAGGCTGAGCAAGAAGTTCATTGATGTCTTTCTCTAAATAGACACTTACATGTGGTATTTAACTGGAAAAAAATAGAGCAAATTTTTGACAGGAACTGAACTGATTTGGGTGAAAATAGGGAAAAACCAACAATTTCTCGGGGCAAAGGAAAGAAGCCTTATTGAGTCTGTCTGGTTATTGGTGTGGTTTATAAAGCCAAGAAGTTAACAGATTAAAGAATTTATTTTTCCAGTAGCTCAATGGCCTCATCTTTGTTCTTTCTGACTGCCCAGTGCTGCAGAAAGAGTGGGGGTATCCGGTAGGGTATCCCTCTTGGATAAGGACTGTGACCACTGGGACAGATGCATTAATGGTATCTGGAGGGAATTTCTGAAATAGGGGATAATAGTGTGTTGGTGCACTGACTACTGTGCTGAATGGAAGAATGTAGAGATCCTTGCTTTTATAATGAACTCATCCTACAGAAGCAGCAAAAAATAACTGGTTTAGGCCTTTGTTACGCTACAGCAAATAAAGTTATTTCTTCTACTACTTCTTTCTTTTTGAAAGTGGAGAAGAGGGTAGGCAAGAAAGCTAATGTTTGTGTGGGGAAAAAAGGTGGGAGTCATCTTGCCCAGCTGCAAGAGTGCAGTTGTTAAAGAAAAAAGAGCAAAAAGAAAAACGCCCATCTCTTAGTTTTCCTCAAGTGTCCAATCTCGTTATTAGTCCCATAGGTAAGAATCCAACTGTTGAAGGAGGTTACTGTAAAGACAGCTGGCTGGGTTGTCTTCAGGTTACTTTGAAAATGAGTCCAAATATTTTAACATCTCTTGTTCGAGAGTATTGTCGTGTGTTTACAACTGTAGAATGAATAAATAAATATTCTAAATTGTTGAGGTTTCTTCTTCTGGTTTATTCTTATTTTTTCATGTTTGTAGCTGATACTCCACCTCCTGCATATATGCCTCCTGATGATCAGATGGGACAGGATAATTCTCAATCTATGGACACAAGCAATACGATGATCCCTCAAATTATGCCAAATATATCTACCAGAGGTAAGTTGTATAGTATAGTGTAAAATTACCATAGTTTGGCTTCTTACAACTCATGACTAAATTGAACGAATAACTTCAAATGGTGCAGTAAACCTTGGTGGTAAGTGGAAGCAGTCCTCCAAGGCAAACTGGGGCTGTAACAGAAAGAATTGAGAAATAAAACTTGCCTTGCTTATTTGCATCTCCTGCTTTTAAAGCCTCAGGTGCATAGTATGGCTTGCAACAAGTTGAACTTTTTTCATTTCTCAGAATTAGTCTTTTCTGCTACCTTTGCCTGCAGTTGGTATTGTATGTGCACAAAGACTCTGAAAATTGGGTCCCAAAATATAAATTAAAACAGTTTTTTTTTAAAAAGTGGACAGAAGAATCATGTTTCACCTTATATCACAGTCATCTATGGTTTTTTGTGTAAGTTTTTGTTTGTTTAAATCAGCCTTAAAATAGGAATATAATTATAAAATCAAAGCACTAGCTAAAATGCATGAAAATAGAAATCATTAAAATCTTAATCAGGACTGTTCTTGCCCATCATAACTGTTGACTAAGCTTTTAGTTATTTGTTGATGTTTTGGAAGGCCTGCTTTACTGTTCTAGATTTAATGTTTTAACATTTATATAAACTGGTGTTTCCATTTTGCTTATTTTCAGATGTTCAGCCTGTTGCCTATGAAGAACCCAAACACTGGTGTTCGATTGTGTATTACGAACTAAATAATCGTGTTGGGGAGGCTTTTCATGCATCTTCTACAAGTGTCTTAGTAGATGGGTTTACAGATCCCTCCAATAATAAAAACAGGTTCTGCTTAGGTTTGCTCTCAAATGTTAATCGCAACTCAACTATTGAGAACACTAGACGACATATTGGAAAAGGTAAAACTTAGCTGTGTTACGCATGATTAAGAAGCTAAGTCCGTGGTTTTATTTCACCTTCTGTATGCTGCAACAATGATTATTCTCAGATAAGAATAGTAGAAGTAATCTGTGACATATTATCTACCTCTCCAGTATGTGAAGGCAACTTAGGCATAGTTTGATTCTAATTAGTCTAGGAATTGCATACATATTTCTTCAGCACTAATTTAAAAAATTAAATATTACCTTTTCCTTACCAAACTATATTGTCATAGGGGCTTGTTTGTTATCATTAATGATAATCTGTATGTAGAATTTCATGTTTCAGCACCAAGAAACATATTGCAGGACTTTGGATAGTCTATATTATATCTGCTCTTAAATCAAATTCTTCATACCACTTTACAGTGTAGCAAAGATTTTTTTTTTTTTTTAATTTTATTGTTCATGCAAGGTATTACGCTGCTGTCTACAGTATGTTCAAATATCTTTCATGAGTTGGAAGCAGGACTTTGAAGTGCTAATGCAAAACTGCAAGGGCTCATTTGTCTGAGTGAATCCATGGGGTGTGTATGTGTGTGGGAGGGATTCCTGGAGACAGCAGGTTTTGCAAGATCTTCTGGTTTTCCCATACTGTTTGGCTGATAGCACGTATAGACGCACAGTTTTCATCTTTGATGGAATGTGCTTCGGTTATCTTAAAATGTAGTACTCCTTTTCTGGATATCTCCTTTTTTGTAACTAAGTCAGTCCTGAGAAGAGAACCCTGTTCCTGTTGCACATATCTAGAGGCCTTTTTAATACCCAAGATCATTTGGTACACTTGGTCTTGAGTTTTGTTTGATGAAAGTCACTGTTGCTTGTAATATATCTTCAAGACCCATCCTGTCCCTTAACAGTCTTTTAATTAGAAACTACTATAAATATGGCAAAATTTTACAGATAATCTGGAGACCACGAGTTATATTAAAGTATTTGTTGGAAACTTGGCTCTGCAATGCTGTTGTCTGAGAAAATTTAATGTTATAAAGGGGAACAACTGGTTTCTGGTGTGCAGGTGGTTTGTCAGATTCTTAATTATTAAACTAAAATTTTGCTTTATGGTAACAGTTCTGAGAACAACTAAGATTGTTTTGAAAGAAAATACTATTTGTTTATGGCTTTTGTTTGGAAGGTCTAGGGTTTTTGCCTCCCTAAAACTACCCAATCCTATTTGCTAAGCTTTTTTCTGTAGAAGTGTTGCGTTGCAAGTATAAGTGACTTCTAATTGTGCCTTGGATTATTTTTGAAGTATCTATGTTCTTCTCAGACTGTTGCATTACCCATCTGCCCTCTTCAGAGATCTCTGGGACGGTCTTTCCCCAAAAGAACTTAGCTAGCAAGTGGTAGTCTCTGTCTTTTTAAATGAATAGGGTTGTGTTGTGAAAATGCATTCTTGCCCACCCCAGATTTTCTGATAGCTGCTTATAGTTGATGAAGCCAATGGTTCCTCTGTGTAACCTTCATCCTACCTTAGTCCCAAGTGGCTCTAGCAATGTTCACAACAGTTGCTGCTGTCTGAAAGATTAACTTGCATCTGTTGACTTGCTGCAGCCTCATCTGGCAAATCACGGGATAGTCTGCAGTGGATTCTCAGGGTATTTATTGCAAGGAAGACTTAAACTGAACTGTATCCCAACCATAACAGTGTTGGGTGGGGGAAAGGGAGAAGATCTGGGAGAAGGAAGGTGAGTATCTCAACTGAAGTAGCAGTGAGAATCTGTGTTTGGATGCTGAAAGGATCAGCAGCTTTTATATATAAATTTTTAGTCAGCAATAGTGTTATATGGGCTTCAGAACGTAAAGGGAGGGAAGCACTTACATACATAGCTGAATCCAGGCAGGTGTGATAAATCTAGGGGCTTTGTTGATTTTTAAGGTCTGTAAAGCCTGATGGTATTTAAATTGTGGAAGTAAGTGGACTTACCTCTCCTTTTGCTTGATAAAATACATTGAAAATCAGAGCAGACTGTAGATATACTTTCTCATTCATGTCTGTCACTACCTCTTCTCCCAGGACACTTTTATTTCTGTTGGAATAGCCATAGGCAGAAGCTATCAGTTTTATAAAACTGGAGTTTTAAAATCCACATTAGGTTTCTAGGAAAATAGTTTGAAATAACTGTCGACGTGTGGAATTAGTTTTTTTTCATTCTATTCTGTAATTGATGAGAGAAGGACATCTAGTGGCTGCTGTATAATGAAGCCTGCTGTATTTTGCAATGAGAAGGTATGTCGTAGTGTTGGCAAAAGAGCTTTTCTGAAAAGCTCTTCAAACAGGAAATTCACTTTGCTATCTCTGATTACAAGGGGATTGTATGAAGTAGTATATTTTTTTGGGGAAAAAAAAAGTAATTTGAAACATTTTTATCTTTGTTTTCAAGGAGTTCATCTCTACTATGTTGGTGGAGAAGTCTATGCTGAGTGTTTAAGTGATAGCAGCATATTTGTACAGAGCAGGAACTGCAACTACCACCATGGCTTTCATCCAACAACTGTATGCAAGATTCCTAGTGGATGCAGTCTGAAAATTTTTAACAATCAGGAGTTTGCTCAGCTTTTAGCTCAGTCTGTCAACCATGGATTTGAAGCAGTATATGAGCTGACAAAAATGTGTACCATTCGAATGAGTTTTGTAAAGGTAAACAAATTATTTTTGGGGGCATTTAAATTGATTGTGGATTTGGGTGTTCAGCAGCGTACATTAGCACTGTAGCAAAGCTGTTCTGACCTGATGTGGTTCTTATCAATGATAAGTATGTTGAAAATGGTTAATGTGGAGAGAGGAAAATCAGTGCAAGAAAGGAAAAGCACAGATTGCTGTATTGAATATTGGCTATGTATTTAGTTACTTCAGTATTCGGGACAGGGGTTTAATCATTGTGGTTGCTATAATTTTATTAAAGGAGATTTGAGCTCATGCTCTAAATTTGAAGGAACAAAGTAAACTACAAGACCACTAAAAAGAATGTGAGTGGAGAGGAGCATAAGTGATTGCAGAAAAAATTGCAACTCCTTCAAAGATATTAATATTGCTTTTAAAAAATTTATTATGGAAAAAAGGCATGATTTGAATTTATAAAGTCAAACTGTGCTGTTATTCTCACAGTAGTGTTTTCTCAATGTTGTTTAATCAAGATTCCATTTCAGATTTAGCATGGAGTCTAGACTTAGACCTTCCAGGTTGTTTTTTTCTGCATCTTGTCCAAAAGATGTCTTGTTTGTTTTGTCAATTATGATAAATACTGCTCAGTTTGAGAGTGTGGAGGATAGGGAGCAGGAGGGAGAAACAGAAGAGAATTGTGGCCATAGCCAGGAGTCATTCTCAAGTCAGCAGTGCGTTCCGCAGAGGAGCTTGTGTAGTTGCTCCAAGTCTGTAGCAGACAAGACTTGATTCAGGCTTCCAGGTGCAGCCTCCCTGCCGCTCCTTCCCTACCTCAGTTTTTTTCTTTAGATAAGAACTGTTGCTAGATTGTGAGTTAGCTTCAGATACGTATCTTAAAAGATGATTTCCTGCTTCTTGTTAGTGCAGTTATTTTGAAAGACAAGCATGTTGTCAACTTGATGGATAACATTTTGTTCATTTTTATAGGGCTGGGGAGCTGAATATCACCGACAAGATGTCACGAGCACCCCATGCTGGATAGAAATTCATCTTCATGGGCCCCTCCAGTGGCTGGATAAAGTACTTACACAAATGGGTTCTCCTCTTAATCCCATCTCATCTGTTTCATAGTGCTGAAATTCTATCTTCAGCCATATTTTTAGCGAACTTATTCTAATTCTAGAGAAACTTCCAGTGTGGATACTGTGAGCTATATGGAGAATGGATCTTATGGTTTAACTTTTTTTTTAAATCCCTTTGTGACCAATTCCATTGTGTATAGCTAATCAGTTTTACATTTCAATTTGCTCTTGTGATGCTTAAGTGACAGTTGAGCCCTAAGGGAAAAAAGTCTATTGAAAAATTGAGAACACTTTTCCCCTCCTTCAAGTAGAACTTAAAGAAGCATATGTCTTAACTGGAAAATTTTTTCTTTGTCCTGTAGGGACAAGAATTATGAAGACTGACTTCAGAAAATAAATACATATCATAGTTTGGGATTTTTTTTTAATGTTTATGAAACTGTTTGAACATGTGCAGCTCCAGCTTGCAAGCTGTATTTTTAGCGTAATTGTTTAACATCTTACGGTTGACATCTGTCATAAGCAAAATTAGACTTCATTATGGCTAATTTGACTCAGATTGAACAATGTGATTTTTTTAAGTGTACACATGAAATATACTTTTTACAAATATTGGAGTGGTGTAAAAACACTTGTATTGTCTATTGGAAAATGCTGTCATAAACACACTGTATATTAATGCAGAATAGCAGTTCTTAGCCTTTTCCCACTTCAGTTTTGTAATAGCTCTTTTAACCACCGTTTTAAATAGTAATTGATACAAGGTAAACATCTTGCACGTTTCTGGAGTAGTAATTCTTGTTTTGCTTTGATTTACACTCATGCCGTTTGGATTTGGTTGCCAAGGCTCTTTCTTTTTAGGTACCCTTCTCTATTTTAACATAAACACTACTATTTGTAAATGGCAGTGCTTACTACTTTTTGGAAGGAATAAGTTTTTTGTTTTCTTTTTGGTGTTCTAGCTGTTTATTTTACCTGTCTGGAATTGATCTGTGTTAGGCCTTTAATCTCTCCGTAGACATTACGCAGTATTAGTGATTACACTGTATTTAATTCACTTTCAGTATGAGTTTGAGTCTCTTTGAAGACTGTGAGTGGCTTAGCAAGTTAGTAACTGAATGCAGCAGCTTTTACTTCCAGATCATGTAATTTAATACAGACCTGTTGGTAATGACCAAAAGTAATCACTTCTTTGTAGCCTACACGAAACAGTGGTCTTGATCCTGTCCCTGATGGCAGGTGTTCAATCAGAAGACTCGAAACTGTAGTTGGCAGCTTTATGGGATTGAAGGACTATATTAATATGATGATGAAATTTCTCTCTCACGTGTAAATTCTCTTGCCTGTGCTGTTGTATTACTCAGTAGAGAATTTAAACACTGTACTAAACACTAAAAGAAATCAGTTAAATAACGTATGCATATTTTCCCCCTTTAAATAATAAAAAAGGAGGCTGAAAGAAACATTCTAAGAGAATTAGAAGTGAATTATATACAAAATTTCTTTGCATGCAGAAAAAGACCTATTGTATTTTTTAACTTCTTACCCTCCTTTTTCTCTTTCCTGAACACTTCTTCAGAAAAGGGTTCAGTGTTTGGGGAAGAGGCTGAAAACTCTAAAATGCACATACTTATTAAAAGATGTCTTGCAGTTAATTACTGCAATCCTGAGACATTGATTGCTTACACAAGTTCTTGTGTCTTCTGTTGAATGACAGTTTCTGCTCAAATGTGGAAATCATGCATCATATGGTACCTAAGTAACAAATGATCTTAAAGGAATAAAATTGTTTACGTGTCATTAAAATGTTCCTCATGAAATGCCTTAAAGGAATAAACTGTAACACTTCTGCAGAACCCTAATATTCTCTTGTACAGGAATTTCTGTACTACTTGGTGTTTTGATTTTTTTTTTTGTTTGTTTTGGGGTTTTTTAAGCAGTTTCTCAAGTGTGTTCAAAAACAACAAGTGCATCTTCAGGAGAAGGGGAATAACGTTATTTGCCACTCACCTTTGGGGTCTTCTCTTTCATTCTTTGCAACTGCAACCCGCAGATGGTTCTTTTGATCGAATAAGATGCGAAGTCAGTTGGCCACAGGATCAGGCTTCTATTTTCTTCTCCCTGGGCCTGACTTTTGTTAAGTTGCTGAACATGTATATTTGACACTACAGGATTTTTTTCTTGACTAGCGTTTATAATAAACGTCATGGCACATTGGATTAAGAAAAGATCTCAGTTGTAGGTACAAGATTTTACTTTATCCAAAATGTTTTTCACCTGGCTTCATCTCTGTTCAGTTGTATGTTTAGATGTGGCCAACTAAATGACTCAAGAATGAGTGTTGAACCGGGTGTTCATGAGCCAGAGCTGGTGCTTAGTGCTAGTATTGTGGTTAGATTGGCTTACCCGTGCACTGAACCATAATTTCTGCAATAATATCCAGTTAACCCACTTCTGATGCTGTCATTAAGTACTAAAGTACTCTGGCATTTTTCTGCTTGTGTACATAATCTTGAACTGTAATATATGCAGTGCTGGGGATATCCTTGTGACTGCTGATTTTGCCAGGGTAGGCTTGCAGGAGCAGACCCAGTAAAGTTTGTCTATGTTCTACTTTCCTGTTCCTTTTAAGTAGGACTTTTTGAGAGCTTTCTAGTTAGCAAATTTTGTGTGCTACTGGTTCATGGTATTTCTAATCATGTTTAGTTTATCTGTGCTGCTGATACAAAATTCAGGTATCAATGCATAGAGGGATTGGATGAGAACGGTTTGACCCTAATGATGTTTTAAGAAGAGCAATAGCAGAGAGTGCTGCTTCTGTTGCAGCATACTTGTGTATAAGTCACTTTGTGATCTAGACGGAGGGATGGAGAAATTAAATTAGCCAGTAGTGCGGTAGTAGAAGATGGAGCCTTTCCAGTATAGCCCAGCTTAGACTGAATGTTACTTTTCGGTGAAAACTGTTTTGGCTTTTGTAGAGTAAGTATTTTCTTCTTTTTGGGCATCTTTCTACTTTGCACCAACCACAGCATTAACTAACAGCTTTGGCAATACCAGCAAAAAGCCTAGAACAGGCGTATACTGAAGTTCTTTCTGGGTTTGCTTTTATAGTCACTAACATATGATAGTAGCTTGGATATTCCTCCTTAGAGGACTTCAGTCTTGCTGGCAGTCAATCCAGTGCCTTGTGTAAGTATTACGTTCATTTAATTGCATTAGGCATGAAGTAGTTGTTCATGAAGGGATGACATTGGGTTATAGTATCTATAGGACCAAAATAAAACTCTCTAGAATGACTGACTGATGAGAGACAAATCTAACAGAACAGCCCATCAGTCAAAAGAATGATGAAACAGCCCATGTGTTATGATTCGGTATAGAATTCTTTAAAATATTGGAATTCTTTCGGGTTTTGCCTGAAGCTATGATTCCCCCCCGCCCCCAGTATTACAGTGTGAAAGTTGTCTATTCTTGGGCAGATACTCTTGCAGTGTAAGTCTAGAGAACATTAAAATGTGTCAGGCTTTCTCCCTAGTTTGAAATAATACTTTTTTTTCGGGATATTGTTTTAGTTGCCCAAAGTGTTGCTAGGGATGGTTTTCAGGAGAACAAAAAAAAAAAAAACCCAACCACACACAAAACCAAAACATTTTTTAAATGTTTTGCTTCAAAAGACAAACGTGACTAACTTTTTTTGTAGTTGTGAAGTTTCTGTTTAGGAAGGTAACCCATTCTGAATTCAAATCAATAGACCAAACCATCAGATCACAACATAATGTTGCTTTATTGTGCTGCTCCATAAACCTGCTTCTGTGTTCGTTGCAAGCATAACCTTTATGCTTTTGTTTACATTGTAGGAAACACAGTTCTAGCAATGAGGTTTTTTTCATTTAACTCTAAACATCTTTTTATTTTGTTAATTTTAAAATTATTAGGTTTTGCTATGTTATGTTTTTAAAGATATTTTTTGCATACTGCTGCTCATATTTCAATAAACAAAACAAAAAAAACCCACAGATTTTTCTGATTTCCTTTATCTGTTACTCAGTACGTCTCAAATATTTGTTGACAAAGGTTGATTTATGACTTCTTGTAACTCTCGCTGCCGTATATATTCCTCCTCATACAAATGTGATGGTGTAATTTTAAAAATACTTTTCTACAGCGTTTTGGTAACACAAAAGCTGCAGTGCTCTCGGAAGCAAAGACTAAATTATTTCATTAATCTATTTAAGAGTTCTTTTTTCTTCATGTAGAATGCAGCCAGCCAAAACAGTATCCACTTGTTAGTATTTATAAAAATGTTTAAATCAGTAGTGCAAAAAATGCGTACGTGTAAGACTTCAGCAACACTCTTGATTACTGTGGGGGGGTTTGGTTTGGTTTTTTTGTATCATTGTGGCCGACCATAACATTTTTAAAGCTCTACGCGTTCAGGTATAATGATGATTGTTCAAACTGATGACCGATAGCCTTTTCATTGAAGTGAAGGCTGTTCGATTATCGCTTGAAACTCAAGTACTGTTCCAATAAAATGGAAATTTAGGAAAAGTTTAGTGAGCTGTTCTTTTACTGTCTATTAGCCTTATTTTTTAAGATTGAGGGGAAGAAAACTTTTCTCTTGTTTACCAAGATACTACAGAAATAGAAGTTGAAATAGTAATTGGTGGTGTGCACAAATTAAAAGAACTCTACTTTTTTGGCAGGATGAGTACAAAAATTCTGAGTCCCAATTCCACAGGGATATCCATATAAGAACTACAGAAAGGACAAATTATTTTTTTAGTGTAGAACTGAAACAAAAGTGTTGATACTGCTTGATCTTGTCTGTGCTTCCTGCTTTGGGATTTAATTTGGCTAGCAGACTGCCACCTTGCAGTAATACTCTGTGAAGTTCTCTCATCTTCTCAATAATAATAGGGTTTTTTTCCTGTGAATGTGCAACTGTGCTATACTAAGGAGGATCCAATCACTCAGGCAGTAATTATTTTTTTTTATATCTCCTGATCCTGTTTTAACGGTTTTGCTTCCAAAACAATGATTGCCATGTAAAGTTCCCAGAAGATTTACTATGATAGTATTACCTAGATTATACAGTCTAATTTGTGAGTAACATCTCTAAGTGTTGCAGTGGCTTGTTGGCTTTCCAGAAAACTTTATATGGACTTGTATTAATAGCTTTCTATATAAGTTAAAAAAGCCCCAAACCAAACAAATGAAAAAAAAAAAAAAATCTTGGTAATTATTGTATAGAATTGAAGAGTTTTTGTTAATCTTACTAGTCTTTCTGGGGAATTTAGAGGTATGGTAGCAGTTGATAATTACATCTCTGGCAGTAGCTAGCCAAAGTAACCTGTGAAATTTTTTTCAGAAGAAAAATAAGCTTTGGGCAAAACATACCTCTTCCACCCCCACTCCAACCTGCATTGTGTGTTAAATGAGTCAGAGGCTACTTCTGTTCACTGCTACATAAAAAGCAAATGTCTCACTGGCATTTAAAGTAATTAAACGTTGGGTGTGCTGTGCC